ACTCCCTCTCCATCCTCCTCCTCCTCCTGCTCCAACGGCTCAGGAGTCTCGACAGCCCGCACCTCCTCTACAACCAGTTTGGGTTTAGGTTGCTTCTTGAACGACAAACCCTTCAAACCCCTCTTCTCGCCGACCCCCGCGGCCCCAACTCCCAACCCGCCGATTGGACCCGCTTTTAGCTTTTCCCTCTCCCGCGCGATTGCAGCGCGCATCTCCGCTCCCATCAACCGCTCCTTGATGTCTTTGGCCAGCAGTGTCCGGAGTTCCTTGATAATGAGATCCTCTGCTGCAGCTGCGAGTGCGATGTCATCCCAGTTGCCGTCCTTAGGGGCCTGTGCGGGTAGGGCGGGCGCGTTTGCCACGGTCAGCTCGATTTGTTGATAGGCAAGTTGTCTAGTGCTGGAGTTGGATAGCACACGGGTGGCCTTCGCGGCAACATCGACGGCTCGAAAGGTCACATACCAGCCGAGATGGTCTTTGAGGACCTAAATTTGGCGAAAATGTTCGACCATTGAGCATAAACGGCCAAGTCGAGTGAAAAAATTGAAAGAAAGGCAGAATCAAACGAGGAAGAAATGAGAAGGCCATCAGCCACGCCTCACGACGAAAAGAACAACGCACCTTATCGACACTGAACCCAGAAAAAAACGCCCATACATCATCCTCCCGTGCACTCCCTACTGGAGGAAACCTGACATGCGGCATTCCGTTCCTCGCAAGAACCTCTAGAATCACTGTGTGCTCCTTCTCCCTTTCAGCTTTATGGTCTCTCTCCGCGCCTTGCCTGTCACGGCCACGGTCTTTGCCTCTCCCTTCATCTCTTTCCCGCCACCTGTTCGGGCTACGACTACGACTCCTGCTCCTGCTACGACTGGGGCTATAGCTCTCACTGCGGTCACGGGGCCAATAGCGATCTCGATCCCTCCCGCGGTAAGTATCGCCCCTCCTCATCCGATCCCGGTCCCTGCTTCGGCTGGGGCTCCACCCACCACTATACCACGTATCTCCGCCGCGATGATAATGTGGCGAAGGTGAAGGTGAACGCGGCGAACGATGTCTGCGGTCGGCACGCGCCCTGCTGAATCCCAGCGGCAGCCTCCCGCGTGAAGAAGAACCAGCGCCATAAGGCGCCCGTCCACCGTGATGTCCGTGGCCATGCGGAGGCGCATAGTGATGCGGAGTCGAGCCCTCGCTCTCCCTGACATCCCTCCCGTCTTGGTCCCGGCCGCGCATAGGCACGGCCACTGCCCCTCGCACCGGTGCGCGCGCCTTCAACAGAGCGTCGGCAGGCTTGCGTGGCTCATCGCCTTTGTTGCGCACGTGCACAACGGGGATGGGCGGGAGCCCCGGGATCTGCGGGTGTGCGTGTTGAGCATGAGCATGGTGTGTGGGCGTGGCAGCTCCGTTTGCTTGTGCTAGGGGGCTAGCCATGTGTGCCGAGTGGCTGTGTGCGAGCATGGGGTTCGCAGGAAGCGTGTGGTGTAGAGGGTGCTTTCCCGGCGGGGGACGCGACTGTCCCTGTCCTTTCTGCGTCTGACTGGGAGTCTGCTGCCCATTCGGCGTCCCTCCTTGATGGGGCGTTTCTTGCTTCCCCACAACCCCATTAGCCGCACCATTGGCTGAAGCAGCCTGAGTAGCAGCGGCAGCAGCAGCCTGAGCCTCCACGACCGCCAACGGAGGCAGCCCCTTCTCCCTCCTCCTCCTATCCTCCTTCTCCCTCTCCGCCCTCACCTCCAGCTCCCTCAGCACCGCCTTCAATGTCTTTCCCTCATCATCTAGCACCGCCCTGATCTTCTCATCGTCTGCTCCACCTCCCTTTCCCGCTGCTCCTTTGTTACCCGTCCCGGCGGCGGCGTTCGCACCGAACTTGGCAGCGCGCCCGTCCTCGCCCTTTACGCACGCCGCCGCATGCTCGGGCGCATTGTACTTGAGGTATAGCACGCCGAGCGCGGCGCCATTCGCACGATTCACTTGCCATTCGAAGGAGGTGATCTGGCCGTTTGGGGCATATTTGCGGTAGTGCTCCTTAAGGATGGAGGTGGATGTTAGAGGTGGGAGACAGGTCAACAGAACCCCGGTTGGCGGTGGGGTTAGGCTGTGGCTATCGTGCTGTTGTGTGTTTCGGATCGAGTTCACCGTAAATTTGGGGTTGGGATAGGGTGTGCGATGGAAAGGAAGGGGGAAGTCAGCTCTCGACTTCGCGCCATGATCAAGGAGAGAGAAACATACATCATATGCCACTTCCAAAAGTGACTCCTTATACGGCCTGGAGAGCCTCGCTCTATTCAGGAGGACCTTGAACCGGGGGTCTTGCCGAGGGTCACGCGGAACAGGCTCCTCCTCAATCATTGTGGGTGTCGTGCTGGACGTGTAAAGATCCATCTTCGCACTGGTGACAGCGGGCTCTGAGGGCAAGTCGATGTCCATCTTCTCGTCTTTCGTTTGCCTGGGGTCCCCAGGACATACGTCCACAACCCCTTCCATGCTCCCCTCCTTCCCAACTGCATCCGACTTCACCACTTCCTTGGACTCTTCCTCTCCCTTGACCTTCTTCTCAGGAAACGGTCCAACGACCTCCCCCTCCCACCTGATCAACACCTCCTTCCCCTTGTCCTTGCTTCCCCGGATTCGTTTCTGAGGCACCCCGCCGTGTCGCTTCACGTGCTCCAAAAGCGCCTTGTAGTACGTCCCGTCGCGTCTTGGCGGCTTCTGCGTGGCGTTCAGATGCAGATTAGGCGTACCTGCTCCACTCCCACTCGCCGCGGCGTTTCCGTTTGCGTCCAGTGCTGAAGACGATGAACCGTATCTCATCGCCAAACTCGCCATCCCGACCAACACACCAGCTCTCACATTGTCCATCGCCAGGTCACTCAATTTCTCCGGGTTGAAGGCCTCCTTTCCCTTTCCCTCCCTCCCCTCCCTGCCCTCTCTTCCCGGCGGCGCACACAGCGTCGCGCCGTCGAGCTGCGGGTCCCACAACACCTTGAAGTTCCTGTGGCTATCAGGGTAGGAGGACCGGGGGGGAGGCCAGTCAGGCAGTGGAGGGAGGGAGTAGAGTTTTGTTTCAGGTTCCGGCTGAGGTTCAGAGGCGGGTGCAGCTTCCGGGGGTGGTGCGGGTGTTGAAGGTCTTTGCTGCTGCGGCAGAGGTGGTAAAGGCGACGATGAAGATGAAGAGGGGGATGAGAAAGGGGGTGGGATCGGAAGTGAAGGTGGGAACGGCGGCCGAGTGTGTTGCGGGGGTGGCGGTATAGGGTGTAGGTATTGTTGTATTGGTTCTGCAGGTAGAGATGGTGGGAACGACGGCATCGACAACGGTAGTGGTGGTTTTGCGAGGGGGGGCGGAGGTGGGGACAATGAGATGGCGATCGATGGAGAAGGCGGGGGTGGAGGTCGGGGTAATGTTATGGATATTGTATGTGAATGGGAAGGTGTGGGCGGAGGAGGCGGGGGTGCGTCTTGCGGCGGGGGGTGGGATGGCGGGGGAGGCGGCAGGTTCTGCGGTGGTGGAGGGGGTGGCGAGTCTCTCGGTGGCGGAGGAGGTGGAGGCGGACACTCCGAAGGTGGCGGTGGTGGCGGTGTTGGAGGCGATTCTGAAGGTGGCGGCGGGGGCGGCGGGGGCTCCTGGTCAGGCGGTGGAGGTGGTGGTGGCTCGTAACTTGGTGGAGGTGGTGGAGGTGGTTCACTCGGCGGCGGTGGAGGTGGTTCCGTCGGCTCAGGCGCAGGCGGCGAAGGTGGCTGATCGCGCGTAAACGGGGAGGGCACGGGTTTCGGCAAGTTTTTTTCACGAGCGCGAGCAGAGGCAGAGGACAGGGAGAGGGGGATTGGGATAGAGATCGCTGTCCGAGTTTGCGTGGATGCTAAAGAGGCGCTCACTGACTCAGGCGCTTTGGAACTCGAGGCACCGTTCAGAATGTCAGAACCAGATTCACGGCCGTGCCAGCCATTGGTCGTTGCATTGGCGTGTGAAGAGCTGGCGCCGGGCCATCCTTGTGTCTGTGATAGATAAAGAGGGGGAAAAGGCGGTCAGTAATAGGTCTTCTGTGTTGCGTGCATGCGAATCCCGACACCAAGGCATCAAAAGGAAGATGACGGCGACCAGGAAACACGGACTAAATCGAATAGGGAAGAACAAAAAAACTAACGGCAGAGGCATCGAGTGCCTGCGAACAAACCGTCACGAAACGGCAAATATAGTCAAGAAAGTAGATTGGCGGAGAATAGGGAAGGAATGGAAACTTGAATGCGAATCGTGAGATGAATAGGATCCTCACCGCGTTCCCAGCGCTGGCGCCCTGCCCGTCCTGGAGCTTGTTTTTGATCGATATGGGCCGCCGATTGGTCTGTAGTCCGCCTGAGTCCTTCTCTCTCTCCCTATCTCTCTGTTCCCTGTCCCTCTCCCTGTCCCGTTCACGGAGGAGTTGCCGCTCTCGTTCCCTGTCTCGTTCCAACTCCCGCTCCCTGTCGCGTGAACTGTCCCTATCTCGTTCGCCCCGGTGCATGTAATGCGGGTGCTTTGGCGCCTGACGCCCAGGCCCAAGACCACTACCCCCATGATTAGCCAAGCTACGAGGCCCTGTAGGGATTGGCTTCGAATACGAGTGCGCAGCAGGTCCAGTGGGGGCCGTTGGAGACGCCCGAGGGCCAGTAGGTAGGTGAGGATGAGAAGTGTGGCTGCCGCTTGGATATGAATTGGGATGGGAGGACAAGGATGGAAGGGGAGGCTGGGTGCCCAGGAGAGCACGAGGGCCCTTGGGTGGCGCCCTGCCCGACATGTGTGCGAGCAGTGGACGCAGTGGACCTCACAGCGGAGAAAAAGAACGGTGTGCCCCGTCAGCGTGGCACTTCAAGTTGCACAAACACCAGCAACGTCAACTTGCGCGAATCCGCGTTATTGGCGCGTGCGTCGTAAAGAAACTGTAAAGAAATCAACCCCAAGTGCGTCGGAAGTTCTGTTGTTCACTCTGGTGTACCGACAGAGCCTGTTAGGCTTTAAACAGCACAGCAGCATGGCGCAGTTGGAAGCGCGCGGGGCCCATACCCAACTGGTGCGACCCCGAGGTCACTTGATCGAAACAAGTTGCTGCTATTCTCTTGAATTTTTAGCATGTCGACATACATGCCCAGCTATTTCATGCAAATAAATAAGATAACTATACGCGGTCCAGTGCTATGCGCCACAGTACATGTCCTAGGCATAGCAGTCATCGAAGCTGTCGCGTGTTAAACACAATCAAATAGGTGCATGCTGTGCACAGTCCAACGCACAGAAAAATCAACGCGTAGCAAAACGCATACCTACATCGCTGAATCCATGGATCAAACACCCTCCTCACCGACTCCGGCCGCCCCCTCACTTCCCGGAGCCTAACTCCATAGAAATAGTCGAAAAGCCGGTTTGGCGTCTCCAAGATGCTACCGATCCTTCTGATCACACGCGTGCGCCAGACGTGCTGAGGCTGGCCGACGCCGTCGACGCTAGGTCTACGGCGTGGGACAAACGGATATCCAAACGAAATGCCGCGCAGCGACCGCTTGGGATCTTGTACCCTCATTCGTCCGTCGTCCGAGCTCTGCTTCTCCGTCACCCACCTAGGAAGCCTGGCCTGTCGTGCCTGACCTTGGGGCTCCTTTCCCTTTGCTCCATGGGAGGTGTCCTTCAAACGTTTCCCCCGGCAGCAGAGCCTTGCAAAGTAGAACTCCCAAACCGAGAGCTTGGGTGGTTGTTCGCCCAGATGGGTAAAGTGCCACCCACCGACGAACCAGAGGAACGGACAGATGAAGCCCAGCCAGAAAGCCCAGAACGCGGGTGTGGTCGAGGCGAGCCAGTGGCGCTTTGTGCGGAAAGTCACGACAGCCGAGCCTGAACCAAACCCAGCGTCTCGCTCCCATCTTTGCAAGATGCGTTCGGTGGTAATAGAAGGCTCGCCGCTGTGAGCAGACGGGAGTGTACCGGCGGTAGGGGTGAAGGGTATGTCGCCGCTATTGACCGTCGCCTGCGATACATCGGCGATGTCCATATGTATGTCGCCTCTCTCTATGTCCGTGCTGTAGTCATTGTCGTGCATACTGTGAATGCTACCTATGCTTGCAGCCGGGGGAACGCCGCTAGCGGTGACGAAGCTCTCTGCATGCAATGACTCGAGATCGTCCTCCCCGTAATCCCCCTCCTCGATCTCACTCTCATCATCGGCGGCGGACTCGGAGCTGCCGGCGATAGTGGGCATGGGGTCGATCACCGAGCGGCGAGGACGCAGTGGCGGGCCCTCGCGGCTGGGATGGGGGCCGGGGAAGGGCGGCGTAAGGTTAAGTGGTGGGATCGTTGGTGGCTCCGCTGGGGTGGTGGATGCGGACCTTGATGGTGGGCGCGCCGGAATGGAAGAGCTGGTGGAGACATGCGTGCGCGAGGAGGTTTGAGAGATGGTTCGATTGAGCTGACGCGTGACAAAGGGCTGGGGGGTCGAGTAGCTCGGCGAGGGGCCTGTGTCGCGAGCCGAAGGTTAAATTAGTTGCGTATTTGAATGAATGGATGGATGATGAATAAATGAAATCCAGCAGAAATGAAATTGGATTGATTGAACGCGTGGAAGGGTAGGTACGTACGTGCAATCTCAGAGGTCTGTGAGCCGCCTGGACTTGGGTTTGTGCCCGGATTTGAGACAGAAAATGCAACAGACACCGCTGAGGCGTTGTGTGTCGCTGACCCACTCCTACCTAGGAATGGCGTAGAACCTCGCAGCGAGGTGGGGGAGAAATAATCCTGCTCCACAATAGGCGAAAGCTGCTTCGCCAGAGGATAGCTGTACGCAGATCCATAAACGTCATTCGCCGTAGCGTTGTGCAGCAGCCGGGAGTCCCGGTCAAGCCGCAGCGAATGTGAACTCTGTGAGAACATAGAATTGGTGTTGAGCTTGAGATGCCACTTTTCATGCTGCGACGAGGGTGCAGAGAATGATGAAGATGAAGACGGGGAATCGGGAGAAGAAGAATGTGCGGGGGGTGTAGGCGATAACGAGACACTCCGCGCGATCGGACGGAGTTTAGTCTGCGATGGAAGACGGATGACTGCTGGTGGGGCAAGTCGCGGATAATTTGGTGTCGGGAATGCAGGAGGATGCTGGTCAGCGTCTACCTCGTAGCTGTGCTCCTCTGAAGGGTCGACCCATGCGACACTGGAGGGCCTCGGGCGAGTGGGGCTGGGTTGAGGGTGTCGTACTTGGTAGGGCTGGTACTGGTACTGGTACTGCCACTGGCCAGGTGCCCCTCTCTCGTCGGAGACATCAAATCCGGTGAGCGAGCTCGGGGACGAGCGGGGAATGGGGTTGCTGATATTGGCCGTGGAGACGAGCTGCAGGTCGCCGCCTTTCCATTTGGACGCGCGCTTCCTAGTCACAGCAGGAAACGGGAGTCCAGGCATTGAAGTTGGGGTATCATCCGGTGGCAGGCCCAGCGGTGAACCCTGGGCCTTCGACTTGAGGTGCCAGCGGGAGAGGAACTCAAGAGGCATCGTCGTGAGGTGAGATTCGAATCAGGTCTGAGCTGCCTGGCGCGACGATGCTAGAGCCCAACAGTCTAGAAGAGGGATGGGATGGGTAACGCCAAGACAGAATGGAAACATCCAGCCGCCGGAGATGTTATATAGAAATCTGCATGTGCTTGTACGTAGGTGGTCGAGGCCTGGGAGGTAGGACCGCACTGCCGGCGTGCATGTCAATCTGATCGTGCGGAGGAGGTGCAAAGAGTATAACGTGGCCCGGGAAAACTACAATCTGGCACCATCACGGCCGCGTAAAACATATGATTGTGAGCGTCTTTGAACAGGACGCAGCCAGGTGGATGTCAACGGTGTATGGCCAGCCGAAGGTTACGAACCTGAGACTTGTGTAAGTTCTCCTGGACGGTACATTCGATGATTTCTTACCAGGGAATCCAGAGCAGAATCGGAGAGGAATCCCCAGTCAAAAAAAGACGCCATCCGGCAAGATCTAGAGGAGGTTAGAGGTAGCACTTGTAGAGACTCTGCGAAGGGAAACACTAGGATACCCATATTAACCGAAGAACTTACCTTCCATTTCCAGATGTTGAACAGTGTTGAACGCGTTGAGGTTTATCACATCAACAACATGTGCACGCCTCGAGGCGGAGTAGGATCCAGGGCCAGGTTGTAGTGTGGGTTATAGGTCCATCTAGGTCCATATCGCGCAAACGTCACACTGCACTGAAGCTTGAAGCCGACACGTGGAAAAGGCGCTGTACAGGATCTGCTGTCAATCATGGCCGTTGCAGAGTCAAGGTAAATAGCAACGTTTCATGCAGTTTCATGCACAAGCTGGGATGAACAAAAAGACCTGCGGAGGAGCTCGAGGGCCCTCGCGAACATTGCCTATGTCGCGCGTCGGCCCAAGCATCGCATGTAATAAGTAGCGAACTGGGTACTCACATTCAATGGAGGTGAAGGGTGCATGGCATGTAGCGATGTTGAGGAATGAACATAGTACATCGCTGCTGAGACGGTTTGCTACGCGAATGGTTAAGGATTTTAGCAAGCTTGGCTCCTACGATGCCTATGGTTCTCGAGAGCATTATGATCGATATATCTACATACAGGACGAGACAGAGGGTGTTGGTTGGGTGCTACTGAGTGGAAAGATATCGACATCGACAGACGGATAGAGAAGACGGAGATGGAGAAGGGAGTGCGACGACGATATGCGATGCGATGGGGTGGAAAGTCATAAAATATTTAACGCAAATAAATCGGGTGGGAGAGAGTGTGTGGATAAGGTTAGTATAAAGGAAGAAAAAGGAAAGGGTAAAAAGACCAGGTAACCATCGTGGGGTGTACAATCGACAATCGACAGCAGGTGCAGGTGGGTGGTACAAGGTAAATAGGGATATGGATGGGAATAGTGAGTGATAAATGGACAACAAGAGGCGGGTTATATCTCCAGGGTATCCTAGTTGAAAGTCATAAATGGTGAAGAGATTGAGGATCGAGTCGTGTCGGCGTCGTGCGTGTATATTAATCTGCAGTGGTGGGTGCGGTATCCTTTGTCGGTTCCGTGGGGGTAATGTTCTTTGTCTTGAGCTCCGGGGCAGCGGGGATATCAACGTGCTCCTCGACCACAACAGCCTTCGCGTCCTCCTCGGCGCCATTCACAGCTGTCACGCTGGAATCCTCGTTGACTGACGACGCGTTATCGTCATTATCATCACTCTGCGCCTCCATTGGCGGCGTAGCTTTCGCTGCCTCTGGCTCGTCTAGCTCCCCAGCGTCTTCTTCAGGCAGCGGTACAGCCTCCGGGGCGACAGCAACCTCTTTCCCATCCTCTACCTTCGACGCATCCGTGGAATCATCCAGCTCCACTTCCTTCACACCCCGTGTGACCTCCTTTACGGCACTTGACTCCGCCTGCTGTGAGAGCGTCGCGTCACCGGCCTCTGAAGCCGCAGAGACAGTGCTCTCCCCCCTGATCTTCTTTTTCTGCGATTCTTCAATGTCTGGATCCTGTTCGCGCTCCGTCGAGCTCAACCGCCGCTTCCTGCCGCGCTGAGGTGCGTTCGACGTCGCTAAATGGGCAAAAATACAAAATCAAAATTTAAACGCGTTTTTCTCGGGATAAAAGCTACTCACGGTCATCGGCCCAAGGCCTATCGGGGCGCGGGATCACGGAGTGTGAGATTCTGCGAATGAGGCCGAACATTCTGAGGACACGATGAGCAGGGATTAGGCAGAACTTAGAGGAACGACGCCTCAGGGTATGAGGGGAGGAAGAGCGAAGGAAAGAATGACAGCAGACGCGACCGTGATCCGACTGGGGACGTTGCACTTATTTGGCGCGAGTGGCAGATTGTTGGATCATATGGATGCCATATGGGCGTGTCTCCTTAATGTCTTCTGACTTTCTGCGTGCACCAGTTCTTGTATTACTATCATCAACATTCTTAGTAGACTTATCTACCTTTAACGCGTCCTATACCTCACAAACGTGTGGAATGAGGTCCCGGTTAACACGAATTGGGTGCTGGACAATTTGAAATCCCGGCGCAACGTGGCACATTTACCGATCTTATCTCGCTGACCTAAGG